TTAGAAAATGCTCTGTGAGTCACCGTGGAATATCATTCACACACCCAGTACTTGTGTTGAGGGGGTGAGGGGGGATGGCATCCCCCTCATACCATCCCCTGTGACATTTTATCACTGAATGTGTAAATTTCTATTATATATTTACAGTAATAGCTATAATATTGCCCTTTCAACATTTGGCAGGTCGTGCGCTTACGAGAAACCTGGCCAAATTACGGTGGCCCAGAGGGCACATGCGATTTAATTTTCATCCTCAGTGGTGCAACCAGCGGAGCAGCTGACGATGCTCTGAACAGCGTCACGGCCAAGCAGCAAAGACAACGTGATTTTAGGGACTTTATTTATAAGAAGGCAAAAACTAACGCATCAGGTAAGTCAAGAGTCAGAAGACATTACCTTTTCTAAGCTTACCATTGTGTCACCTAATATATAGAAGTCCTAATCTCTGGACATAACAATAGCATGCAAGACTAGGTAAAGTAGTTTGAAGCGCAAACATTTTTCTGTCTTTAAAGTTGTCATGACACACGAGAATTAGTCTGGAGAGTACAGGGATTGCTAAACATCCAAAATCTGCATTTAGGTTGTGATCTGAACATAAAATGAATCTGTAGACTGCTGCTGTTTTGATGGATGACAGCCAGAATCTAGAAGATGCTGGAGAGACAAGTGGAGCTGTGGCTGAGAGCAGTGGAGGAAACCTGCAGGAGAGAATCGAAGGTTTGAAAAATGCATTTTAATTAAGCCATTTAAGACCCGTGCTAAGATTATTATCTTTAAAGAACTGCCAAATGTGATGTAAATGTCTGGCCAGTGGTGATAAATGAATTGAATGTTGACGTCTGACTGCAAGGTCCCTCATGTGACTTGCAGAATGCGTGTCGTCCGATCAATGGTTAATGGCTTCAGTTTGGCGGATCTGTTAAATAGATTTAACTCATTCATTGCCAGCATGTAGCCTAGCTTACATTAAATTAGCCAATAGAAGCAATTCTGATATTCTGATAATCAGTCTATTTTATAAAATAAATACTTTAATAGATTTTATATAGGCTTATTTCATTTTTAGGCTAATTTTAATGTATTTGAATTTGTAAGCAGTTTTTTTCAGATTTTAAAAATTATTTTAACTGTTTCAATTTAATTAATTTAATTTGAATAAAAAAAAATACTTGACTTGAAAGAATTCAGATATTCATTTGGAATGTTTTATGAGGTTTTGTTCCAAATCTTAATAGATTCATTGCCAAAAGATTTTCCAAAGTAAAATCAAAGAAGTGTCCCATCATGACTATGAAGCTGATCCCAGTGGGAAATTAGTCTCTAACTCTGTAGGGGCAGTGATAGTCATGCCAGTCCAGGGACTGACTGTAGTTCTACTGAAAGGTGCCTTGGTCAAGGTCAATGACAATGCATGTTGCTTTAGATTAATAGACTATATTAATAAGGCTATGTATGCTTAAAAAAAAATCAAAGGTTCCACCATTCCCCCTTCTTTTTTTTTTAAACTCGACATCTGCACACACTCCTTGGCAGATTAATATTTAGGGAGTCTCTTAGTGGATAAAAATGATGGAAGAGAAGAATCAATTTTAATTAAAAACACTGTTCTTATTTTCACATTTAGCAGGTTAATGTTTATACTTTGGGTGTTGGAGTTTGAACAGATTAGATTGGAGCAGGCCCAGATTAACAATGTGCAGAACCTCAACCTGAGTGCTACATTTTATCAATCTGGCTGTCTGGCTGTGAGAAAGCCTGTGACTTAGTTGGGACAAAAAAAGATCAAATTTTAACCAAAATGTCATCATAAAGTGCAGATCTGTGAATAGTCTGCCTTTGAGCACATTCAGGTGTTCATATCTTCACTTTTTGATCAATCTTGCTGCAAATTGTGTCTCCAAGCTTAAACTGAGGCCTCAACAATATCAGACAATGACCATTTTTTCAGTAATCAAAGGAAAATATTTATAGATGATTGACTGAGCGAATCCTTCTTTTAAGAATGTTTTTACACAGCAGTCTGATAAACATCAGGATGAACCAAACAGCATTGGTCGTAGTTTATAGTTAATCTTAAGTATTTCTGAACGATAATTTAAAAAAGCTATAAAAAGGAGTTTCTTCCTTACATCTATTGTTACCTTTAAACCAGCATGTAATTGCATAAGTTTTAGTGCAACATGAGTAGAAAAGATGTTTTCCATGCAAATAATTTCAATAAAATTATATATTTTATACAAAGCATAAAATGAGATAAAAAGAAGGAATATTTTTGGTCTTTTTTCTGTTTTCCTTATTGTTTTGTGTTTGGGAAAAAGGAAAAAAAGAATCTACTGTAACATGAAACTGAATGAATGAATCATTTTACTTGTTTTCCAGAACGATCTCTGGTAGCCAGACCATGCTGGGCGGCAGGCGAAGCATCTCAATGCCGTCGAACTCCGAGGCGTTCCAGGACAGCCTGTAGTCGGTCCATGTCTGTGTCACAGCAGTACAGAGACGGTTCACATACACAGATAAAGGCTTTTTATGCCTGACAAAAGGAAGAAAGTTGTTTTGACGTACATGATCGATCCACACGTTTGTCAACAGCGTCTCATCAACTTCTTTCTACAGATGGCCGAGAAGGAAATAGAGATTACAGGAGGTATGCGAAACAGACAAAACTATAAACTGCTTAGTTTTACCGCTTCATGTGATACATAGACGAGACAAACTGCACACATCATCCCCACAGTTAAACACAGCGGTGGACGCATGATGCTATGGGGACGGCTTCTTTTTCAAGGAGTGATAGAGGAATCTGTTAGTTGATATGTGGATGGATGACGTTCAATAGGAAGAAATCTAAGCATCTAAGGTTGTGCAGCTACGTCTCCCAGCCGTCCCAGGAGTAAGGAGGAGATTCCAGGATAAAGGCAGTAATTCAAAGCTTTTTGACATAAATGCCACCCGACTGCTCTTTGTAGAGATGCTTATACACTTTTCTTTGTTCACTTCATCATTTAAACTTCTGCAGATAAAGTTTTGTCAATAAATAAATAAATCAAAGTTTACACCAGAAGTTTAGAGGAAACCTAAACTCTGGCCTGTGGACTTCTACATCTAATGTTATCCTTTCGGTTTATCGCTCCACTGAGAGTTAACCCCAACATTGACCAACCAAATCCTAAAATCATTAGATTTAATAGTTTCCTAATTAAATCCCCTGTAAAACCAACTTCTAGTTTGACCTTCTGTCCTGATTTCATAAATGTTGGCCCTGCAGTACTGCACTCTGGCCACACCATGGAGCTCAACTGGTGTTTCTCAGTATAATATTCTTCTGTACATCTTTGGCTCTATGGTACATATTTGTAACCACTCTGTGGCTGAAAGCTGTGTACCAACTGAACTTAGAGCAAAAATTTGTAACTTAAATGGTTTTTTAAGATGATGATCTTACAGAGCTCATTTTAATCCTGCATCCATGTTTATTTTTGATTCTGTTCATGGTGGAGAATCCTGCTTCACAGCAGCAGGTTGAGCCAAACATCCTCTAAATGTTCAGGGTCATCTTTGAGCACCATTTCACCATGTATTAACAGGAGAAGCAGCTCAAATGAAATTAGACACTGAAGTCGGACAACCTGCAATAATTTATAAATGTTTTAAATCAGGCTGGGTCCGGATTAGCCAGCAAGTGGGGCCGGATCCGGACCGACTAACCTGTGACCTCTGATCTAAGGATTACATCATGAAGGTATCTGCTATCTCATAAGGAGCATGCGCTGATGTCAGTTATGTATACCAGCAGATGTGTCACAGAGCTTTGAGTTGTTCAATAACCTTTCAGCAAACTGGACCAACCTGCTGGATCACTTTTTCAGTTTCTCTGACCAAATTATTCCTTCTGTGGCTTGATAACCTTTTTCATCACTGATAATCTCGTACCCTTTTGTTCCTAATTTGTTACTCATTCCATGGAAAACCTGCATGATTTTTTCCTTCAAGAGGAATAATCCTGTTCACAAAGTGTTCCTTCATTGGTACTTACTGAATGGAGCCTAAACAGCCTCTTCCAGCATATCCTATTAGAAAGCCTTCTCCTCCACACTGAGGCGGTCACAATAAAAAAAACATAAACATGCAGGGTTTTTTTTAAATGTTTTTTTTTTTTACTACCAGAGAGATGAGGTTGGAGAGCGTGAGGGCCAGATAAACGTCAACGACATCCTGCTGCTTCTGGACGGGCCTTAACTCCTTGTTGTATTTTTTCTCTTTGAACAGGTGGTTGATCAGACGCTCCTCCTCATTCCTGCACAAACACTCTGATAAACAGACAGAACCAGCTGTCAGATTCAAGATGTTCGCTTTAAGTCATTTACTGAGCTGGAAGGTCATTATATGAGGAGCACTAAGGCCAAAGCTTAATGGTAATTTGATACACTGAGAACATCTAGGCGGAGCTGAAGCTTACATCATCACTGTAAGAAGGTTCCCCTCATTCACTTCATAAGGTGTTAGTATCAGGATATAAAAAACATGACCTGTTCTTTAACGGGTCGCAGATGTATTAAAATCTAACTTGAGCGTCCAACAGTTTTGAGAAGGCCTGAACTGAAGTGTGTACAAAGAAAAAAAAGCCTTCAGTAGATCAGCTCTCTTGTTGACCATAATATTTGATGCTTCAGATGTTTTTTGGAAAATATTTTAATCCAGCTAAGGCCTGGGCTTTGATTAGGTTATTAAACAAGTTTTTCCTTGCTGCGTTTTGGATCAAAGCTCTGTTTCTGACCCAGCTGTCAGACTCTAACATAAAAGAAAGCAGCTCTTCATCCATGGAGGGTCCATGATATATGAAAAAAATATTTTTTTTGTAAAGTGAAGGACTTCAGTTTGTTTAGATAAGGCCTTGTATGCGTTTCCAGATCGATGGGCAGCCTTTTTATTTCTCTGATGCTGCCTTTCCATGTCTGCATTGTGTTGAACACATTCTAGCTCCACAGAACCAATACAGATCAGTTAATTCCCATTGGGAGCAGATGTAGAGCACGCATCAGCTCAGAATGCTACAATGCTGCAGTTTAAATGAACAGTTATGATTCAATATGAACTATAAAAGAATTACATCCAGAGAAGTATGACCATAAAACCAAAACACCTTGTACTTTCTTGTCACCATCACAGTGAAAAATTGCTGCTGTTATGGACCATACAGCCGTCACGGGTTTGAGGCCCGGCCTAATGCCGAGTCTCTTCCACCCCCCTCTACTACTATATCCCATATACCTGCTTTCAAAAAAAAAAGGCCATTCAAAATAGTCTTAAAAGAAAAAAAAAAATCAGATTTTCAACACCATAACTAACTGTATGTGCTCTCTTCATCCTCTGACATGGGAGCTGGCTCGGAGCTCGTCTGCCTGGCTGTGTGTTTCCTGGACGGGGCCGCCTATGAAGCTGGTTAAGCAGTTTCTCCTGTATGTCTGCTTCTTTCTGTATGTCTGCTTCATTCTCCTTGAACCCCAGTCAGCCTCTGCATATGGTTCTGCTGGAGGTTTGTTCCTGTTAAAAGGGTTTTTTCCTCTCCACTGTCACTACAAGCATGCTTGGCATGAGGGATTGCTGTCCAGTCGATGCAATCAGCTGGTTTTCCTTAGATGGAAAACCAGCTGAAAAATTAAAGTGCCTTGCGATGACAGGTGTTGTGACTTGGCACCATATAAATAAACTTAATTAAACTCTATTCACTGTAGACCCTAAACTCAGAGCGATCTGTGTTCTATGCGTTGTCACCAAGGTCTCCAACTAAATTTGCCTAAGTTGTTGCTAGCTGCTGTTTTGATAATAAGTTGCTAGATAGTTTCATGACCTTGCTTTAATTTCATACTGCTGGCCAGCAGGAGGCGGGGCCTATGCTGAGAGCAGCCGTGTGACATGAGGCACCTGTAGACATGCCTAAACAATCCTCAAACACAACATTATTATTCCCCCAAATTCAACTCTAGTCCCGCAGTGTATCCATAAAAAGCTATTTTTTTAAACACATGTAGAAAAACATTTGTGAAATTGATTGTGTTTAGAAGGAAGTTGTGCAATCCCTTCACCAGGTCTTTAAATATTCTATGGATTGTTTAACACCCACAAATTAATGGGTTTTCTATAAACCAAAAACAGATTTCCTGTTTGCTCATTTTTCCAATAGTTCATTTGCTGATCTAAGCAGGTTTTATTGAGCTGGACTTTGAAGTGAAAAGGTAGCGGACCTTTGGTCTAGAACAGGGGTCGGCAACCTGCAGCTACAGAGCCGAGTGCGAATGCCGCCCTTGCGGCTCCCTGGAGCTTTTTCAAAAATGAATGAAAATGGAAAAAGATGGATTTCTTTTTGGATGTTAAATATGTTGTGCAGGAGGTCAAACAAACATTCATAATGTTTTCCAAATCCATCCATTTACCGTCATGCTTATCCCAAGTGGGGTCACGAGGGGTGCTGGCGCCTATCTCCAGCTGTACAGGCGAGAGGCGGGGTACACCCTGGACAGGTCGCCAGTCCATCGCAGGACATTTATGTTTTCCATTGTTGTGAAAATTTGTATAATCAATAAATTTAAACAAAACATGTAAAAAATTCTGTCAACAAAGATTTGCGCCATAGCCTACGATAAATGTTTCAGTGCGGCAAGGTGCCAGGCAGGTGGCTGTTGGGTGTGACTCTGGCCATGAATCTCAAAGGGAAAAAAGGAAGATAGCTGATCAGAACAGATGATTCTAAGAAGAATGGAACCGTTGCTTTCATTACCAACACGGAGGGATTGCCTGCATTTATCCTTTGTAAGGAGAAGTTTTCAAATAATAAAACAAGTCATTTGGAAAGGTATTTCCAGGGAAGACATGCTAAATATGCAGCCAACCACTAAGTTAGGAGTGAGAGAAAAAGTGTAATTGCGGTACGCTTCTTCTGGATAAATTAGAAGACATCAAAGATAGATTTAAAAGGTGGATTACATCTCCAGACTCCACTACTGCTGCTAGTCTTGGGCAGGCATGGAAAACCGTCCACAGATCAAACAGGTAGCGCTCTGATGCAGGGAATGGAACTTTCTTCCATTTTTTTCTCCAGATCCTCAAAATAAAATAACACCATAAATCTGATTTCTTTGTTTTCTATAATTTCATCAATACAACAAAACCTAAAACATTTATATTGTAAAGGAATTTAAACTTAAAGCACCAAATATCGTACAGCAGAGCAGTCACATTATGTGACATTTGCTCAAGGATAAACATTTATTCATTAATGCTTGTTATATATTTAAACCAACACAGTCCTTTTTTTTTTTTATAGTGGGCTAATACAATTTTACATTTTTGCAGCTCCAGACGGATTGTTTTTGTTTGGTCCTATATGGCTCTTTGAACAGTTTGGGTTGCTGACCCCTAGAATCTAGGGGGTTCTGGTCCATTTGATCTGGAAATCAGTCCTCTCACTAATGGTTTTCCTAAATAAAAAAATACAATAAAAACACAGTAAACCAACGTTCTCTCAAACACTGACAGGAGAAAAACAAACAGGGGCTGGACGTGTCTGCATGAGCCGCCGCTGCTCAGCTTTCCTGTACAGCAGCTGTTCTGTGGATCAGATTCCTGCTCCTGATCAGCTGTCCACACAGAACCGACAGGCTTCTTCCAGCCTAAAGCTTTAGTTCCTCCAGAGAAACTCTTGTTTAGACCCTTTTATCTCCAGTTAGATTCAGGTCACAAACTTACAATAAACAAAATGACCGGATCTTATCTTATTTTGGCCTAATTCTGGATTATGTGAAATACTAAATTGCACTTTTTCTTTCTGTGAAATAAAAGTAAAACAATAAAATCTTAAGTCAAAGAGATTGTATGAATCATTCGTACAAAGGTTAGACCTACAAAGAGCAGCATGTTGTTAAATTATGTAAAGTTTAAAGGTTTTTTTTCCTTACACAAGAATATATTTAAAAGGAAATGTAAAGATTTTTTCCCCCATCTCCAAGTGGAAACAAAGACATTACCAAGCAGCAATAGAAATAATTAACTTTGAAACCGAAAACTAATCAGAGTCAAGCAGAGGACTCAAACTCATTTAGATGAAACCTAAAATGTTCCCATAAACTCACCGTGTGCGACCAGTGTGAGCAGGGAGACCGTGAGCAGCGCAACCCGGTGGAGCTCCATGGCCAACTGGCTGAGTGGAGCACAGGCCGCTTTACCCACCAACCTTCATCAGTAAGTGACAAGCAGCAGCTGCAGAAACACAGGGCAGAAAATAGAAAAGTGACAGCAGGAGCGAGCAGCCGGAAGCATGAAGAACTTGGTGGTTTCAAAGGCTCTACACACAGTCATCGCAGGACGATCTGGGAGAAAATAAAGAACAAATCTATAAACTTTTCAACTTATGATCTAAAACAAAAACTTTTTTTTGTTTATCCCAACTTTGATGCACCAAAAGTTGAGTTTATCAAACCAGCTCTCACTGAAATAAACTCTAAATGCTCATAAAACAGTACCTACCTACTCAGAGAAAACAATGATTATGATGCTCCTCTATTCTAATTTTCTATACATACAGTCATGGCCAAAAGTTTTGAGAATGATTCAAATGTTAATATCTACAAAGTCTACTGCTTCAGTTTTTATAACGGCAATTTGCATATACTCCAGAATGTTATAAAGAGTGATCAGAGCAACAGCAATTAATTGCATATCAATATTTTCCTAGAAAATGAACTTTATCCCCCAAAACACCTTTCAACAACATTGCAGCCCTGCCTTAAAGGAGCAGCTAACATGGTTTCAGTGATTGCTCCATTAACACAGGTGTGGGTGGTGATGAGGACAGGGCTGGAGATCAATCTGTCAGGATTCAGTCAGAATGACACCACTGGACACTTTAAAAAGAGGCTGGTGCTTGGCATCATTGTTTCTCTGCTGTGAACCATGGTTATCTCTAAAGAAACACGTTCAGTCTTCATCGTAGCTAGAGAGATTGCACCTCAGTCAACAATCTATCGCATCATCAAGAACTTCAAGGAGAGAGGTTCCACTGTTGCCAAAAAGGCTCCATGGCACCCAAAAAAAGACCAGCAAGCGCCAGGACTGTCTATTAAAAGTGTTTCAGCTGCAGGATCGGGCTACCAGCGGTGCAGAGCTTGCTCAGGAATGGCAGCAGGCAGGTGTGAGTGCATCTGCATGCACTGTGAGGTGGAGACTCTTGGAGCAAGGCCTGGTCTCAAGGAGGGCAGCAAAGAAGCCTCTTCTCAGCAGGAAAAACATCAGGGACAGACTGATATTCTGCTAAAGGTACAGGGAGTGAACTGCTGAGGACTGGGGGAAAGTCATTTCTCTGATGAATCCACTTTCCGACTGTTTGGGACATCTGGAAAACAGCTTGTTGGGAGAAGACGAGGTGAGCGCTACCAGCAGTCTTGTCTCATATCAACTGTGAAGCATCCTGAAACTATTCATGTGTGGGGCTGCTTCTCAGCCAAGGGAGTCGGCTCTCTCACAGTCTGACCTAAAAACACAGCCATAAAAAAAGAATGGTAACAGAATGTCCTCTGAGAGCAACTTCTCCCAACCGTCCAAGAGCAGTTTGGTGATGAACAATGCCTTTTCCAGCATGATGGAGCACCTTGCCATAAAGCAAAGGTGATGTCTAACTGGCTCAGGGAACAAAACAGAGAGATTGTGGGTCTGGAAACTCCCCTGATCTTAATCCCATTGAAAACTTGTGGTCAATCATCAAGAGACGGGTGGACAAATGAAAACCTAGGAATTCTGACAAAATGCAAGCATTGATCGTGCAAGAATGGAACGCTATCAGTCAGGATTTGGTCCAGAAGTTGATTGAGAGCATGCCAAGAAGAATTGCAGAGGTCCTGAAGAAGAGGGGTCAACACTGCAAATATTGACTCATTCTAACTGTCATTAAAAGCTTTTATTACTCATAATATGATAGCAATTGTATTTCTGTATGTGATGACAACATCTGACATACACATGAAAACCAGAGGGCAGAAGATCATGTGAAAATACATTTGTGTCATTCTCAATACTTTTGGCCATGACTGTAGAAGATAAAGAAGGTCAAGATTAGGGCTGGGTATTTACGCCAAAGTCCTGAATCGATTCGATTTTGATTCATAGAGTTCTAAATCGATTAATTTCGATTCAATCTGTTTTTACAATAATGAAAGTGGTTCCGCTGTGTTTCAGAATACTCATGTATTCTATTTATTTCCTGTCATAGTAAAAACTGCAAATTTGTAAATCGGACACTTTAAACATAAGATGTGAACAAAACTGTCTCAAAAGTGCAAACTTGTTTGTGAAAAGTGAAAAAGTGAAGCCTCACTCGAGCAAGCAGACGTGACACAGCAGACATGCATGAGCTGCATTATCTTCACTGCACAAACCATATGTGCAGCGTTGTCTGTAAAAACTATAGGGTCATTGCTGGTCAGCCCCATTTGTTAATGTC